AGTGATATGCCTTCCGAATGGTCTGAACGAACGTAAGCCACTTCGTCTTCGGGATCATCGTCAAGGTCAATCTGAGGTCTGACATGAAGATTCTTGTTGTATTCTTCTTCATCGGCAACATTGTCCACCCCCACAATTCTTCGCTTGCCATCCCTAACAACGTACATCTTCTTGTTTACAGGGTCTTTTATGTAGAAAATCTGTTCGACCTGCTTCGCTAGTACGAATGGTTCATCTGCGTATCCAACCTTGGCCAGGTCCACTAATGTGAAGCCTTCCTTGTCAACCTTGACACCTGTGCAGATATTCACCCAACTGCAACGAAACAAAGGGACTATGAAGTTCAGATAGTTTAGCTCCCATAGCTGTTCTATGCGGCCGTAGTATGTGCTCGATCCAACCTGATCCTGATATGCATCTATACGGATTCCACTGTTTTGCACTGTGCTTTTCTCATCTTGTGTGACGGTGTAAAATGTGTATTCATTGATATCGTACCCTTGCCATGTGTCAACATCCCAAGATGGACCCCTTGCCAACCTTTGTAATATCTCACTTGGGCCATCGGTCGACCGTGCTACACGATCCTTGAACCATTCGTTGAAGCGAGCACCATGTTCGCTGTTGATCCAAATATCTGATCGACCAATATTGTCCTGTCGGACCTTCGCTAAATGCTCCTCAAAGTATGGGGTTACTTCAGCCATATGTTGCAGCACTGCGAAATGAGCTTGCGCGTAGGAAGCTTGATCGGGAACAATTCTTTTTCTGCCAGTTGTGCTGACACCTGCCAACCTTCCTTCATGGCGAGACGTAGGAACTCCGATAGGATCAGTCTCGGCCACGTAATCGATACAAAACTCAATGGCTTCCTCGGTCGTGTCACCTTCAATGATGCTCCCCTCTGGTTTTGCTCTGTTCCGAACGTAGGACTTCAGAATTCCCATGTACCTCTCGAATGGCCACATTTCTCTCATAAAAGCTGGCCCACATATTTTTGTTTGCTTCACTAGGTGAACAGTGAGATGAACCATGATATCGAAGAAAGCTAGTGGAAAATACATCTCCAAGTGACACAGGGTACTGACAATATCGGTCTGCAACCCATCTAGGTCTTCTGGATCTATAATCTTCTGACCGATTGCATTGAAGAAGGCACAAAGCCGTTGGATCGTGTGACGGACTTGTGGTAGTAGAATGCCTCTTATAGCAACTGGCAAGATCTGTGTGATTAGCACGTGGCAATCGTGAGACTTCATTCCAACCAGCTTAAGATCCTCCAATTTAACGTACTTACTTATTCTCGAGCAATAGCCCGAAGGAACTTTAATATCTGCCAGACATGATAGCATTGCGATCTTCTCATCCTTCGACAATGTGTGGCAAGCTGGTGGGAGGTACACTCTTCCCATCTTCTCATCTGTAACAGGCTGAAGTTCACTGCGAATGTTCATCTCCTGTAGATCGAGACGCGCATTCAACCCGTCCTTTGTCTTGCCAGGCATATTCAACAATAGCCCCAGCAAGCTATCGCACACATTCTTCTCTACGTGCATCAGATCAATGCAATGACGGACCTCAAGATCTTCCCAATAAGGTAGCCGCCAAAATATGGATTTTTTTTCTTCCACATCCTCTTCTTGTCCTCCTTGCTACGTTTTCTTTTCTTCCCAAACTCATTATTAATGTCCTTCACCATGTTGTGTACTTGATCTCCGGACAAATCCGCAGGGGCAGACCCAAGTTCTTTCTTACCATTGAAAATTTTCTTCTTTCTTCTAAAGGCGTGCCGTAGGGGGAGCCATCTCCTATGACCCATGTAAATCATCTTTCTTGATTTCTTCAGCCACCTACTGCATGTAGGTTCCATACAGTCAAAGCATGCCTTCTTTCCTTTCACGGTTTGTCCAGAAAGATAACCCAGCGCGGGATAATCATTAATGGTGCAGAACAATAGAACTCGTAGTGTGAAGTTCTCCTGACCATATGCATCCCAAGTTTCCACACCCTCTTTCCACAGAATCTCAAGGTCATCGATAACAGGCTCCAAGAACACATCGATGTCATTGCCGGGTTCTCTCGGACCTTGGATTAACAAGCACAATATAATATATTTCCTTTTGAAGCACAACCATGGCGGGAGGTTAAAGTTTGCAATGAGAACTGGCCAAGTGCTGTGAGAACTGCTCATGTCTCCGAAAGGATTCATGCCATCCGTACACAAATATATCCTCATGTTTTTGGGGTCGACAGCAAAGTCTTTGTGCTTTCGATCGATATTCCTCCATTGAATCGAATCCGCAGGGTGTCTTAGCAAACCGTCATTCCTTCTCTCTGTGGCATGCCAACGTACTAACTTTGCTTCATTGGGGTTGGCAAATATTCTCTTGAAACGATCAATGATTGGTAGATACCACACAACCTTCGCCGGACCACCCCGCTTTGACTTCTTTCCCTCGCCCGCGCTCTTCTTTCGCTTGTATCGAGAAGCCTTGCAGACAGGACAAGCATCTAAGTCCGCGTATTGCTTGTGGTACAATATGCAATCGTTTGGACACGCGTGAATTCTCCGGACCTCTAACCCTAGGGGACACAGAACCTATTTTGCTTCATATGTCGTCTCGGGCAATGTGTTCTCCTGAGGAAGCATGTCCTTCAGTATTCCCAAAAGTTTTGTAAAACTCTTGTCTGACCATCCACTACTAGCCTTCAACTTCATTAGGTCTAATGTTGCTGATAATTTGGTGTGCTTTGGCTTGCATCCTGCGTATAGAGGAGTCTCCGAGTCACTGACTAACCTGCTAAACTTCATGAAATCTCTCTCGTTCATAGCTGGGTCATCAATGTCACGTAACATGTCTTGCAGCATATCAAGGTCCACATCAACCATTTCATCGCCCAATGGAGATGGGACAAACATGTCATGCTCTTCTTCATCTCCTTCTTCATGATTGTCTGCACCACTTCCGTCTGCAGCTGCACCATCAGTACCCAGATCTTGCTCTCCATGCATCACCCAACATGTGTATCTCTCCATGAATCCCCAGCGTATCAAGTGAGCGTGTACTTCCTTTTCATCTTCCCACAAAATCTCATTCCTGCAATCGCTAGATGGACAACACATGTACTTGTCGTTTCTTCTTATCCTATCCTCCTCTGCGGCTTTCATAAAACTTAATACGCCATCTCCATACTCCTTGTACTGATGCCTCAAGCCAATCGTGTACATCCAACTCCGATCCATCGCTGAACAATGAACAAAATATTAGTTAACATCTCATAACATAAGTACTACTAAATTAATAGGAAATGTTTAGTACCCTTTTACTTACTTTTATGATTTTCCTGTTTTTGTTTGCAAAAAAATTACAAAAACTCGCCCCCTTCAACCTCCCACCAAAATAGTGAACAGTGGGATAAACTACAGACAACGGATTGCTGGAGTATATATAGTGTGCAAAGTATATCTCAATCGGGCCAAAAAAAATGTCATCTCTAACGGGCGCACACTAGTCTCTAACGGGCACAAATAGAAACCCGACACCTATAAAAGTCATCGGTAACGGGCATTAAGGCCATCTCAATCGGGCCTTCTTTGGAGCCCGTCACCGATGACACTCATCTGTGACGGGCTCAGTATTTGGGCCCGATTGAGATAGTGGAGGTCATCTCAATCGGGCCTAACTTCGAGCCCGTCACAGATGAGTGTCATCGGTGACGGGCTATAGGACATCTACAACGGCAAAAATTTAGACCCGATTGAGATGATTTTGTTCTGACGGCCCACGTTGTGCAGGCATGTGATGAGCCGTCACAGATGAGAGCGTGAGCTACACGAGGTTCTCCACTGTAAACTGTTTTTGTTTTCTTTGGCTGAATCAGGTTCTATCCGGCTCTACGTTGCACTTTGAAAGCAGAGGAAGCATCATGAGACTTCTTCCAAAAGCTCGTAATTAAAGCATCAATAATGCTACAGCTACCAGGCATCACAATAAAGCTACAGCTACCAGGCAGGAGTACTACTTGCCATGTGTCTTTCTGTCAGCAATTTATTCTATCGAAGGGAAGAAAATCTGGTAGGGCGAAAGTCCATCCGGTAGGATTGGAGCCATGGTTTCGCTTAGGCCGAGGTTAGTTCTAAACTTTTTCTTTAAACTTTTAACTTTTTCATCACATCAAAACTTTTCTACACACATAAACTTCGAACTTTTTCGTCACAACGTTCCAATTTCAATCAAATTTTCAATTTTGGCGTGAACTAAACACACCCTTAATAAGCGAAACGGCATATTTACAAACGAAAAATAAGTTATAAACAAAATTTGTATATACGTGTTCTTTGCAATCTAAAAGCAAAGATTGAAAAATAAACTTCGATGAAAAAAATCTTAAAATCAGCTCTAAATTTAAAATTGAAAATTCAAATTTTAGTTAATAATCATAAACATAAGAGATGAGTCCGTCTCAGTCATAATCTCGTGCAGGACACGTGCCTCAGTCATAATCTCAAAGGCTCGAAGCATCCCCTCAAAAATCGTATTAATTACTAATGTCATTAGCAACAAAAGTGACTTCGACGTGGACTTGTTCTTCCAGCGCATATGGACTTTCTCCCAGCGGGGCGCTAGTCGCGGCACCAGCGGCAATTACGTGAGGACATTGTTGTTCGAGTACAGCAGAGTGCCGGCGATACCGTGTGGGACGGCGGTGGCGGAACATTTTCGACAGCAACAAAGCGCCGCGCTTGGCTCGTGTTCGGCGCGGGAGGTCACCGCCCGCCATGCCGCGCTTCCCTTTCCAGGCCGTGTCGCCGCCACACGCCACGGCAAGCGAAGGATTCTAAATAGACATGTATCACTATATACGTGGCAACGTCCTTCAATAAGCAAAGAGACTTCCTACTACCAAAATTTCTTCCCTTGCGAAGCGTGGCTGATACGCGTACGAGTCTATACCATTTTTCAATGGTATAGCTCTTGTGTATTAACCTTCTTGAAAAATTAGCTTTTTCAATACAAAACCCAAATGCGTGTGTACTCAAGAACACATAATAGGTTATTTCAGGCACCACGTTTCAAGGTTGGGCAAATTGCTACTTCCTCCGTTTCACAATGTAAGTCATTGTAGCATTTCTCACATTCATAATGATGTAAATGAATCTACATATATATATATATATATATATATATATATATATATATATATATATATATATATATATATATATATTCATTAACATTCATATGAATGTGGAAAATATTAGAATGACTTACACAGTAAAACGGAGGAAATAAAACAGAAAATTATTTCTCTCGGCGTCAGCCTTTCTTGAGCATAATGCGACCATGCAGCTTCAAGAATTCCTCCAATGCTGTCTTGGACGAACCACCGTCCTCCAGAGTTCGACTAATCATCCCCTGAATCTCCTTCACACTCTGCCGTATCTTGTCCGCCTACGCCGTAATCCCCATCGCCATATCCACGACCTCGACCACCCTCTCACGCTCCAGCGCCGGGGAGTCCGGCCAGCTCCCGCGGGACACCTCCACGCACGCGCCCCACTCCTCCAGCATCTGGGCGTTGAAGAACTGGTCCGCCGTGAGCGGCCACGCGATGATTGGCACGCCGTGCGCCATGCTCTCCAGCACAGAGTTCCAGCCGCAGTGGCTCAGGAACGCCGGTGGACGCGTGCGCGAGGATGCTCACCTGCGGAGCCAACCCGTGGATGAGAAGCCCAATGTTCTTGGCATGCATCCTCTCCTCGAACCCTTCCGGCAACCACTCGGCGCTGAACTGGCCACCGTTGGTGGGCTCGATGTCAAACCCGAACGGCGGACAGATAGCCCAAATGAACGGCCGGCCGGTGAGCTCCAGTGCCACGGCGAGGTCAACCATCTGGTCAAGCCTTAGCGAGTTATAAGACCCGAATGAGATGTACAGCACTGACCTCTCTTCTTGGGTATCGAGCCACCTCTTGACGTAATCGTCGTTATGGTCACCGGTGTGATCGGAGTGCTCCGTCCGGCGACGCACTAGAGGGCCGATGGGATAGACCGGGACGCCCATCGTTCTCCGGAGCATGCGCAGCCCGGTCGTCTCCAACTCCTCCATCATGCTGATGAGAATCGCGTCGGTGTCGTACCCGGCTGATGTCTGCCGGCGGTGGTGGGCCGACCACCGGTCCGTGCCGTCGGCGTGGAGTAGGTACGGCGGAAGCTTCGACCGGTGGACAGTAACCTCCGGGTGGTCCGGGAGGCAGAACGCATCGTCACCGGGCGCACGCAGGTGCGGCAGGTGGTTCCACAGCGAGTGGTACACCACGCTGCCGAACGCGCCGCAGGACACGAAGATGGCGTGCGCGACGCCACGCCGGCGGGCGATGTCGGTCGTCCACGCGAGGAAGGGGTCGGCGATGACGCAGACCCTGGCAGCGTCTGCTCCGGCGTCGGCGATCAAGTCACGGACGAAGCCGTCGAAGCTGTCCTGTAGCGAGCGCGACTCGGTGGCCTCGAACAGCGTGATGAAGTGGAGGGGCGGCACGGCATCGGTCGACTCGGCGTCTCCGGGCAGGCCGTGCTCAGCAGGCACGAACGGCAGGGCGTGGAACCGGAGGTACCGCGTCTGGGAGCTGGACCGGCGGCGGAGGCCTTCCACGTTGCGCGGGGTGGAGACGATGGAGATGTCGGCCGTGGGCTGGGCGTCGTGGAGGTGGGCAGCGAGGGAGAGGAAGGCGGAGAAGTGGCCCTGCGCCGGGAACGGGAAGAGGACGATGCGGAGGTTGCCATCGCTGGGCATGGTGAACACGTTGTTCTTTGACTTCGAGGTTCTCCACTGGAAGGAAATTAATTTTTTGCTTTGTCTGAAAGGAGAGGAAGCACGAGGGCACCTGTCGGTGTGTGTGTGTGGCAATGGCTCTGGGTGGACAGGATGAACGAGAGGGTGGGGAGTAGAGATGGCAATGGCCCCCGTTCACGCTTCCCCGCGGTGAATTCACCTATTAGGTGATGGGGATGGTTAATATATATTCACCATGGAGAATAAAATGGTTGTAAACCTCTCACCATCAGGGATGACTATGGCGGGGACGGTGAACCATTCTCCGTCCCCGCCCCCTGCGGTGACCCGACTTTACTGTGTAGGAGGACTAATTTTAGACTTTTTAGTTGTTTTGGCCCATAATATTGAAGTCCATTTAACAAGCATATATAAAATCTAACCCTAAGTCAACCGGTCAAACACCAAATCCTCCACCCAAAATCCCAAATCCTCCAAATCCGCACTGCCGCACGGCGCGCACGCCCGTGCCAGCCACCACCGCCATCCGCCTGTCCGCCGGGAGCCAGGCGCGCCGCCGTGCACTGCCAGTTCGCCAGCCACTAGGCACGCCGCCGCTCGCTGTCTTTCTCTCGCGTCGTCGTGCTGCCGGGAGCCCCCATCAACTGAAGCCGCCGTCGCCGGGAGCCTGCTTCGATGCGCCGTCGGAAGACGCCATCGCCGGGAGCCGCCGTCAACGTGCCATCGGGCGTGGTGACTGCAGCCGTCGTCACTGGGAGCCGCCGGGAGTCACCGTCGCCGCACCGCTGGGAGCCGCCATCGACGTCCGCCAGCGCCCTCCGACGTCACTCGTTGTGAGAATGATTCTTCCTGTGATTTTCATCTATAATTTGTTGATTTGTTGAGTGGAGCATTTTGGATATATATTGATATAATGTGATTGTGAATATGTTGTTTAACCGGGGACGGGCTAACCACGGGGATAAATTCACCACATGGTGATCGGGGCTGGAGAAATTATAGCCCCGTCGTGGTTGACGGGGACGGGGACGGTGAAAATTTTTCACCGCAGTGACGGGGACGCGGTGGTGATTCCCGACGGTGAATTCATCATTGCCATATCTAGTGGGGAGTGAGGCTGGGAAGGATGCGCTTGGCAGACTAGCTTTGGGATGAACGACGAGCTCGAGGCGTGGGGCAGTTGGTAAGGCTTCCGAGCAGGGAAGCAAGGGCGTGGACGAAAGTCGGTAAGGCTTCCGGTCCTGCGATTAATGGTGTCGTGGGCTTTGTCCATGCCGTGAGGTGGGACGGTGGGGCCGTTGGATTTGATGGCCGGGGTACGACGCAGCGAGATTCCGAGCAGAAAAAGGGCCCTTGCCCTGTTTGCGCCACAGGGCTGATGCGAATGCGAGTGATGAGGTGCGACGTGGTGCTTTGCGTGCGGCTGCGGCGCACGGCAGGCTCCGGCTTGGAGGGCGGTCGGTGGTCAAGAGCGGGACCGGAAGCGACGTGACGGGACGGAGTCGTTTGCCCGGCGTGCTGTGGCGGCGAGTGCGCAGGAGCGGCACACTGGACTAGAGCTGGTGCGGCGCTGCATCATATGCTCGCGGTCGCGGGCGTGCGTCGGCGCGAGACATTGGAGGCGACTTCGCTGGACTAGAGCAGGCACGGCTTGGACGCCAAAGTTGTCGCCACGGGGCTCGCGTGACAAGCGGCGCGGCTTTGCTGAACATGTGAGCGTACAGCGCAGCGTGATGGCTAGCTGCTTCGGGCGACCACGGTCGACACGGCGCACGGCACTGGCGCGACAGTCGACACGATTGAGAGCGAGGCTGGTTCGTCACTCGGTGTTGCCGCGGCAGCTCGTGCGGCTACGAGCAGAGGCGGATGGCGAAGGCAGGCATGGGTGCACGGCTTGGCTGGCTGGCTGCTTGCCCTAGCCGGCCTGGCTTGGCACTGGGCTGCTAGCTGTGCTGGGCTTGGCCAGAAGGTGGCGACCTGGCCTGTTTGGTGGTTGCCCCGACTGGTTTGCTTTAGAAGGAATAAGTTCACTTTAGGTCTCTTCATTTGTCACCGAGCTCGAAATTCACCCCTATACCAAAAAAACCAGATACAATGTATCCTCTAACTTACAAAACCGAGCAAACGAGTTTGTAAAATCTAAATCGAGAAGCCTCTCGTTTTAGGTCTTGTTTCTTTCAGCTTGGGATTATTATAATCTAGATTATTGAGTCAGATTACTGTAAGCTAGATTGTTATAATTTATAGTAAAATAAGCGGTTAGTTGTTTCTTTCCTAAATTATTAAAGCCTAAATTATTGGGTTTGCAAGTCTAAAGAGGGAGTGGGTGGCATGGTGGGTAATTTTTCACCCAATAATCTAGAAAAAGCTCACCAAAATGAGCTTATTAGATTATAATAAGCTGGGCTCCAGATTATAATAAGCTACTTTAATAAGTTATCTGTTTCTTTCAGCTTACTCCTAATAATCTGAATTATAATAATCCTAAGCTGAAAAAAAGGGCTTAGTCATATCGCGCGATGCGTCTCAGAGCCATCCGACCATAGGCTTGGCACATGCACGTAGCCGGAGCCACAATGAGCAAGAAAAGAGAGTACTGCTACATATCTACACATGCATGTCTTGTTTATTATTATGTCATAAATGTATTTCTTCCTTCTTATAAAATTTTCTCTTAAACTAGAAAGTAAGCCCGCGTAAATGCACGGGCAATTTATTTTTTTTGTTTATAGAAAGAATACTAAAATAAACCATATGTTACCGTATTCATTTTAAGAACCATAGATTACCTTATAATCTAAAAGAAGAAATATTTATTATGCGAAATAAATTATAAAGTTTGATATACTAATTGATAATATCTATTATATTCAAACAAATTTCACTTTGTTATGGCTATACGTAAAGTCGCATATCACCATCTTTCGTAAACATACAGGTTAATATGGGTTTAGATTTTTTTCTTTTACTATACATCTAAGTCACCTACGTATATTCATGGGTAATATTCGAAGGAATAATTCATATTGTCAAAATTATTTGTGCTAATTTTGTCAACACTATTTAGATGAGAATGACATACTTATATAAGGATATAATAGGTTTCCATGCGACATTTTTTATTGTACGTATGTTTTTTTTTGTGAATAGTACTGCACATATTCGTAGGATGGTTGTGCACATATTTATATGAGTGTCTACGATTTCGTTTTAGATCATTAGTTAAAAACATATTTTAAAAAAGTTTGGTGGGATGGCATGAAGAGATGCCACGGTGGCATGACTTTTTCGATAACATCTTAAAGAGTTTCATTATATATATATATATATATGCATAATTTGAGGAAAAGTTTAGTGTTGCAAAGAAAGAAACAAAAAACAACCAAACTAAGCAGATCATATATACATTCTTTTTTTTTCCGTTTTGACATCTCTTGTGTAGGTACGTACGTATGTAGGGAGAGATTAGTTGGTTTTTAGCTGGAATATATCCAATATAATGGTTGAAAATAATGGATCTACCAGTTGAAGTGTAAATTGATGACCATATATTTTCTTTTTTATATTTTTTCTTATAATTTTTTTCTAATTTATGAGATCTATTACGTGATATATTAAGAGTTCTTGTAGAAGTGTAGAAATTCTATTGCCTATACTGATAATATACTTGTAGTCGATTATTATTTATTGTGGCTTGGTGGCATGCTTTACTTTACCTATCATTTGTTGATAGTTCTCCACTTAGTATAGTCCGTTATATATGGTGCTTCATGACATAAGTGCTCGTTGGATGGTAGCTAATTATTAGATGCACTATGCATGAATACCTCGTAAGCAATATGACTTGACGATTAGTGGATAGAACTTATATACTTATGGATCAGTGGTGGCATATGATTGATATATTAGGATATTTTTTTATTCATAAAGTATATTATATACTACACATTAAACGTTTTAGTAAATAAGCAATAAGTTCTAGAGTAATTATCGGATTGGTTGCTCCTTTTCCCAGTTATCTACCCATTGATATAGGAATTATTACAAAAGACATATCTTTTGATAATAATATCTAAATCCATCTGAACCATTTTATGCACTATAATTAAATTGACAACCATAACCTACATCGTATATATTTAAAAGCAACTTGTGTATAATTAAAATATATTTTATATAAAAGTTTAAAAATTAAATAAATATATTTTGGCTTTATTATATTCAATATTTAATTAATCTTGCACTAATGATACGTGTCGTTTCATGTATCCTGAATAAGCTCAGCCATCCAGCTAGATCAAATGAAGCATAAGTAGAAGATAAAGGAGATCAGTACGGTGTGAAAAGAATATATACAATCTTTGATATTTAAATATTATACGAATAGAGAAAACACATTCATGATAAATTTAGTGATATCATTTTGACATATCATTATTTTTATAAGGAGTAGGTAACTTTTGAGAATTGCTAGTCACAATTAGAATTGTTTTTATTTTAAAATATGCAAGTCTAATTTAACTATTACATAATATATACTTTAATTAATTTATGCTTCTCATTGGTGTTTCGATGACATCTGCCTACATTTTTACAACGTAAGTAGAGCATAGTTAATATGGGCAGTTTGGTTTTTTATCCGAGTGAAAAAAAAAAGAAAATAAAAAGATGTCGTTAGCCCGGCCTGCTTATGTACATATGTACGTACTTTTTTACCTTGGAATATATGTACGTACCTTTTTTTTTTTGGGAATACCTACTAAACGTCCGTACTTATGTGCACATATAGATCGGCAATATTGAGTTTTGGAGATAACTTTAATTGGTATTTTTACAATAGATCTAATGGTTGAAAATAATGGGCCCACCATATATTAAATGAAAATCGATGGCTAATATTTTTTTAGAATTTCTATAATTTATTAGATCGCCACATGGCGGCGTAGGAGCATTTCCAGGGGTCCTATGTGGCGGCTTAGGAGGGTTTCTAGGAAGTTTAATGGACTTTTAGTATATAATAGATAGATAGATAGAAGATAGATAGATTACTTATTCGATCTATATTTCGATTACACCATTGTGTTCGTTGTAATTAAATCATTATAACAATATCTTACATGATTATATTATGATAAAAAATATTTATACTGGTAAATTACTTTTATTATATATGTAAGTTACTTT